TTAGGCAGTTGCTTCTGTGGCTTGTTGGGAGTTAATGTGACACTGAAGATTTTGCCGGATCCCTGGGCTCCGCCTCCATCTGCCTGGTAGGTTAGCTGGGCTTGGCCTGCGTCCAGAGAGGCCGGGCACACTTCTCCGACCGGCAGGCAGTTGGAGTGGGCACCATAGTCAGGGTCCCACATACTTTCAGTGGGCAGCGAGGGCTGAGCCAGCTTGGTGTGGAAGATCTCCTGGCTGGGACGGTGTGGCTAATCCGTCTTCGCGGCCCCAGCAGTCAGATTAGAGTCCCTTGGGAAGCAGTTCCAAGGAATGCACCAGGAACACAGGTGAGAGGACCTGAGAGCTGTGGGGACTCGGGCATGACAGTCTGTCTCCAGTGACAATGTGTGTCTCAGTAATCGTGTCCTTGCCTTGGGTTCCAGAGGTACCTGAAGTTGTTCAGGGCAGTGGAGGTGATAGGTGGTCCAGGCATGTGCTTCTTATTAAGTTCTTGATCTTTAGGACTCAAAAAACCAACACTGCCTCCTCCAGGAAGTTTTCCCAGTGCACAAGATGCCCATTCTCTCTGCTCTCAAAGCACACTACTCCCTAGGTGATTTGTTTTTGTTTGTTCCTTATATTGTAAATGTTTGAACCAGCAGCAAACTCTCCAAGTTAGCTCTATGTTTTAGACTCTCTTGGTTGGGGGAAATCCTCCCCCATGAATCACTCATCCTTATATAACTGAACTGACCCTAGTAGAGTTTGAGGTACCTGATAGTGATTGGGGCAAAACACCAAGCCTTGTTCCCCACGGCTTGTTCAGTTTGCTTTCTTATACAATCCATGACCACTGCTCAGGGATGACTCCCCACACTGAGCTGGGTCTTTCCAAACCAACCATCAATCAAACGCACACACAGGTTCCCTCTTCTCAAATGACTCTAGCCTGTATCAAGTTGACAAAAAACCAACCAGTATAAAGATGTCGGGGAGAGCCATCAGAGCCTCACCTCTCATTTCAGTATAAAGATGTCGGGGAGAGCCATCAGAGCCTCACCTCTGATTTCAGCCGACTCCCCCTCCTACCCTCCCACACCAACTACTGTTGACTCTGTCCCAGCTGCACACACTCTTTTGGGAGCATGCTTGGTTCTACAGGGAGTAGAAGAGTGGCTGATGTGGGGACCTTATCTATGCAGTTTGGAGAATTCATCACCCATGCTAACGATGCAGCTGTTTCTGGGTCACCCCGTTGCCCTCCTGTAAGTAACCCTAATAAATTCACTAGTTCATCGAGATAGTCTTGAATGGAATGATTCCTTTGGTCTGTCACCAGCATCCTCTCTGGGGAGAATGGAAATTTGTCCGAGTCGGTCCTAATCTTCTGAGGGTCACATGCAGATGATAACGCTTCCTTTGATTTCAAGTTGGTAACACCACACCCAGCCAGGCCTTAACCCAGTTTTCTCAATTTCTTCTTTGTATATGTATGTGTGTAGGTGCACATGTGTGTGCATGCGTGGAGGCCAGAGGATGATCTCATGTGTCACCCCCCCATTTCTTTACTTAGTGTGTGCTGCTTGTGTGTGGTGTGGGCGTGCCAGAAGGCAGCTTGAAGCAGTCTGTTCTCTTCTTCACCTTGTGGGGCCTGGGACAGGCACTCAGGCCATCATCTGGCTGAACCTTCTCATGAGACACACCTCGCTTTTGAGACACAGTCTCTCACTGACCTGGAACTTCCTCCTTAGGGTGACTGGTACATGAGCTTCAGGGATTCTCCTGTCTCCACCTCCTCGATGCTGGGATTGCCAGCACTCACCAGCATGCCTGGCTTTTTTGTTGTTGTTGTTTAATATATACGTAGGTTATGGGAATTGAACTTGGATCTTTGTGCTTGCAAGGCACGCTCTTTACCAGGTGACCTATTTCCCCAGCTCTTGTTCTCCTATTCTTCCTCCACTCCATCTGTTTCCCTTCTTTCTCAGGTTGGAGTTACGTTTTTTTAATCTGTGTTATTTCACCGCTCATCACTATTAGTGTCTTCATCCATTTTACTGCTGCTTGGAACCAGGGAGACCTGGAGTCTACAAGTCAGAGAAGTAGAGGGAGCCCTCCATTCTGGATGGAAGTTTCTGCTTCCTTCTGTTTCCTAAGCTCATCTCCAGCTCTATTAAATAGCAAATCAGACACCGCACAGTGCAAGTGTTCATCTCCTACTCACAGGTCGCAGTGATCCACAGAGAAGATTCATGGCTTCCTGCTGGCATAATTTCTGGATGTTATTATGCTAGGCGAGTGTCTATCTTTTGCTCGGCGTTAGCTGTAGGACTGCGAAACCCTCCTTATTGCTCTGGCCTCAGCTCGCACTTTCCAGCTCTCCCAGAGGCAGCAGCTCGGGGGTGAAGGCGAGTGGGAAGAGGCTCGCCCAGGTACACGGTGTGTATGTGTTCAAGTGTGTGTGGAGGCAAGAGGTCAACCTTGGGCGTCATTGTATCATTTTCCATCCACCTCGTTCTCCGGCGTCTTTCACTGGCTGGGAGCTCTTCAAGTAGGCTAGGCTGGCTGGTCAGGGAGCCCCAGAGATCCACTTGGGTCTGGGATTACAAGTCCATGCTGTCACACCCAGTTTTTTTCTGGGAACTGAACTCAGGGTCTCGGGCTTGTGTTGCAGGCACTTTTACCCTCTGAGTCATCTTGCTGGCTGGTCCCCTAAGAAAAACAATGCTAAGGATGGAAGGTTTTGGCTCACAGTTTTGGAGGGTTCATTTTGTGGTGGATCGCTTTTAGGCTATGGTGAGGCAGAGACCGTCAGGGTATGGAATAAAGCTGCTCACCCCATGGCGTCCTGGAAACAGAAAACTAAAAAAGTATGAATTTCAAATGCATGCCCCCTAATGACTTACTCCTAAACAGTTGAGAGTCCTCGTGATCTCATCACTTCCTAAGAGCCTCACCTCTGCTTTGGGCACTGTTCTAGGTTCATTCTGTTGCTGTGACAAATAACATGACCAAAAGCTACTTGAGGGGAATATCTCATCTTATACTTCCAGGTCACAGTCCGTCACAGAAGGAGGTCAAGACAGGACTCTGAGAACTATGGAGCCTCACAAGCTCATGCTTAGCTAGCTTTCTTACATAGTTCTGGACCAGCTGCATAGGGATGGTACCACAGGTAGTGGGCTGGGCTCTCCTCCTACATCAATTAACAATCAAGACAACTCCCCTCAGACATACCCACAAAGCCAACTGATCCCTCAATAATTTCCTCTTAAGAGACTCTAGGCTGTGTCAGGTTGGCAACTGAAGCTAACTAGTAGGGGGACCAGGCCTTCAACACGTGAATTTTGGGGGACACATTGCACATAAAAACCATAGCATCACATTTCTAAGTATTGACTTCTTTGTCATAAGCTGAGTGGGGATAGGTGTCTTCCACCAACATCTGGGTAGGGTGGTCAATATGACCTATCTGATCCCTTCCAGTTCAGATTCAGCAATTTCAGTTCCTTCCCCTTCCTATGTTTCCCCTTTGGTCCCCCACTCCTCTTCATTATGCAGATATCTCTCAGTCTCTGCTGAGCTAGATTCTTGGAGTTCTTTGAGTCCCTAGGAGAAACAGCACCTGGCTGATTTACAATTTGAATGCGAACCACTTGAACACTTGATCTTCATCTGGTGGTGCTGTTTTGAGAGCTTGTGGAATATTTGGGATATATGTTCTAGCTGGTAGATATAGGCTCCTAGGGAATGGAGTTTGAAAAGTCATATCCTAGCTTTGCTTCAAAATCCACCAAATTGTGAACAAGCCAGAAGCTCCCATTGCCATGGACCCAACTGTAACACCATGCCCTCCACTCCATGATGAACCAATTATATCCTCCCTTCCTTAAGTTGATTCTGTTAGGTGTTTTGCCACAGTGATGATAAACATATCCAGGGTTACCTCCAAGTCTGGTGTTACAGAATGGTCTTTTTCCTTCTGGTATGACATGATGCCATCTTGGAGTGGAGATTAACTTGATCCAGTAGCCACGGCAACCAGAGCAGAACAAGACATCGATAACCAGGTCTATGGTAATGGAAATAGAGATACTGGCACTGCCTAGTAGGTAGAGGAGAGTCATCGCACCCTCACTGGGGTTTCTAGCCATTACTCCTTCCTGCCCTCTGGAAGCTGCAAAGGACCCTGGGAGATGCTAGACTACATAGGAAGTAGAAAGTTAACTGAAAGAAGGACTCCATGTTGCAGCATCCGTGAGGTCACCCTTCATGCTGAGGTGGGAATTTGCAGTGATACAACTGTTTGGTCACCTATGCCCCATAGGTTACCCATCATGCATGCTCTGCAAGTTCAGTCAACTCATTCAGTAAAGTTTGCTGCGTCGGACTTCCATACCTTACTGGGAGTGAGTCGTCGTTTGTTTTCATGGCTCTCCAGGGAAGTTAATGTAACACTTGGTCTAGTCTCAGCCTCCAAGGCAACCTGTCTAGGTGTTGAGCACAGCATGGCATGGCCTCTGTCTCTTCCAGGTCTCTAGACTGCTGGGTCTTTCAGTAGGGGTTCAGTGGTTCATGGTCACCAGAATAGTGGTGGTCATCACAGTAGCATAGACAAATAGGCAGTAAAGAGTGGGTATTTTCTTGTTGGCAATTAAAAACATTGTGTATGTGTGAGTATGGGTGTGTGAGTGTGAATGTGTGTGTATAGATCAGAGGAGGATGTCGATTATCTTCCTCAATTACTGTCCACTCATTCCTTGGAGGAAATGTCTCTCTGAACATGGAACAGGTGTTTTTCTGCCAGGCAAGCCCCAGGAGTCCTTCTGTCTCTATCCCACTCACTGCATGTGATACCTGGGTTATAACCGAGTTGGTTATGTGAGTGCTGGGATTTGAACTCCAGCCCTCAGGCTTGCTCAACAAGTAATCTTAACCGCTGAACCATCTCTGCAGTTCCCTCTTGTTATCAATGAACAGAAATAAACTTTAAAACATTGGTGACTCTTGGATTGTAGCAGTTTTGGGCTTGCCTCTCTATGCTTTTTTATTTTCCGTGACACATGTGTAATTGCACAGACAAGTCTTATGACAATACAGAAACCAAATCCAATGAGTTCAAATAGTTGGGCTGGTACAATTTATAACATACAGGGACATGTTAATTATTTTTCTTATTGTAGTGACAGAGTACCTGACAGAAGCTGCTTAAGGGAGGAGGGTTTACTGTGACTCATGGTTCTAGGGAATACAGTCCATGGTGGGGAAGGCATGAGGCAGCTGGTCCCATGGCATCCACAGTCAGGAAGCAGAGAGAGATGGATGCTGGTGCTCAGCTCACTTTCTTTTTATTCAGTCCTGGAACCCAGCCTAGGGAATGGTGCTGCCCATATCCAGGATAGGTTTCTTCAAATAAACCCAGTCTCAATTAACCCAATTAACTCCTCCTAGTCACGCCCAGAGGAGTGTCTCCTAGGCGATTCTAGATCCATCAAATGGATGATATTAGCCATCACAGAGGGCTTTTTTGTTCAGGGAAGGGAAGAGGGTGTCTGAGGTATCCTAGAAGCCTCCAAACCTCCTCTACTTAAGGTTCCCGATATGCTTTCTGTGCCGTGGCTGGGAGCGGCTGGCCATTCACACTGTGGGGCTGCTCTCTGCTCAGGATTCGTCCATTTCTCCAGTCTTACAGTCATTTTGTAGCTCTTGTCTTTGTGGTGGGTCTTCTGGGTATGGATCCAGGATTCTAGGGCTGTGGACATGCGTCAGACAAACTCTTTCAGAGCCTCAGCTTGTGTCCATACTATCCGCTCCCTGACAGATGGATTTTCTTAGAGACCGGTGGCAAGCAAGGGCATTATTGTTGACTTTGGCATCTTCTCAGGCTGAGATAAAAGGATGTCAAGCTTTGGAGCATCAGAAGATGGCCTTGAGGCATGACAGCAGCCTGATTTAGGGAAAGGACACTATCAGTCATACATTATCCAGAGCACCCAGAGCACTGTGTTGGGGGGTTTCTATTCAAAGAGACAGGCCTCATACACAGCTGTGTTGGGACCCAAGGTTACATCGGATGGAGTAAAAAGCCATGAATCAAGCCCTATGTGAGCTGTTTTTCCCTTCAGGGTACCTTGGGGTACCTCCTGGCCTTTCTTGGATTTTGTGTCACCCAGAAAGCACTGCGGCAGTCCAGCATCTATGTAATCATCCCCTCTGTCTAGATTTAGAGGGAGCTTCTGTTGCAAGGGACTAATGCTGAAGCCAGACTCACAGGGATTGTGGCAGGGGCAGCTCTCCGTCTCAGTATCTTCCAAAGCTACCTCCACAGATCACCGGAGCCACGATAGCTGAGAGCTGGCAGGGTGTGGCGGTGTGCACCTGTAACCCAGAACTCAGGAATCGCGGTAAGAGAGCTACTGCAAGTTCAAGGCTAGCCCAGGTAATTCAGACAATCTGTGGGGCTGGTGAGATGGCTCAGTGGTAAGAACAATCCCAACAACTGTTTGCAAGGCCAGGTGTGGCTGTGTGTGAGCCTGTGGCGAGCCTGTGGCTTCGGTAGGGTCGTGGCTGTGTGTGAGCCTGTGACAGAGCAGCTCTGGTTTAGTGGGAAGCCCCATCTCAAAGGGATGAGAGAGGGACAGAGCAGCACATCTGATGTCCTCCTCTGCCTTGTGTGTATGCACACAAGGTGTGCACACACATCCTGGACCCCGAGCAGTTAAAAAAAGAGAGAGAGAGAGATATGGGTTGACCCTGCTTAGATTTGGCTCTGGGATGAGACTTTGCCTTGGGCTCATAGGATTTATACACATATTCACACACTTCTCAAGGGGCAACGAAGGACGCAATAGTCTTCCCTAGTTGTCATTCATAAGAGGAGACAAGCAGCGTTTTACTCTTGTGGGGCATCCTGAAGGTGGACGCTTCAACCACGGTGCTGTCTGAAGCTGTGGCCTGTACCTCGAATACGTCCACATTCCGTTGTCCTGGCAGTACTTTTTTTTCTAAATATCAGACAGAGTCTCATCTAACTCTGATTGCCCTGTGTATGTAACTGAGGCTGGTCTTGAACTCCTGATCCTTCTAGCCCCAAATGCACTGCCATATTTGTTTGTTCTGTAATGCTTTTTTGTTGTTGTTGTTAAATGTACATTGATGATATATCATTTATTTTTTTAAAATTTGCTTTTGTGTGTGAGTATGTACAGGTGTGCATGTGTGCCTGCATGCGTGTGTGCGTGTGTGCGTGTGTGTGTGTGTGTGTGTGTGTGCGTGCGTGCATCACACGTGGAAGCCAGAAATCAGCTGCAGGTGGCCTCCCCCGGGAGTCACCACCATTTTTCCCTTTCAGAAAGGGTGTCTCCGGGAGGGCTTGCCAATCAGGCTGGACTGACTGGCCGTCATGCCCCAGCCGTCCTGCTGCCGCCACCTCCCCAGGAGTACAAGTGCTTGCCACCTGCCCAGCTTTCGTTTTGTGGGTCCTGTGGATCCAAATGTTCATGCTTGTGTGGCAAACAACTTTACTTACTAAGCCATCTCCCTGGGCTCCTATACTTTCTACATATAATAAATACATACAGGATGTACAAATAACTTATGTTTATAAATATTTACTACATGAGAAACGTAACTGTATGACACTTTCCACTTCATAAATAACATCTTTGTGAAGACATTTGTAATGACCCCAATGTACATCGACCTTTAAACACACTACTTTTCCTTTACATTAGCGACCTGAGCAGAGTAGATAAAGCGGGTGGACCGGGAGCCCGGTTCCTGCATTTGGGTGGGTGTGGCTTTCCATGTCTGTAGGCTCAACTTCAGGAAATATGGCTCCACAGAGGGGAGGGACAGAGGTTGACATCTTCCTTCTCCCCCTCTCCTCCAATTCCCACCCTCCCCCATTTCTGCTTTTCTCATGTTTGCTCCTCTTATTTCTCCTCTTCCTCCTCCCCCTTCCTCCTCCTCTCCTCTTCCTCCCCATCCCTCCTCCACCTCTTCCTCTTCTTTTCCCTCTTCTTCCTCCTCTTATTTTATCGCCTCCTCCTCCTCTTTTCCTCCCCCCCTGCACCTCCTCACTCCTCGTTTTCCTTTTCTCCCTCTTCCTCCTACCCTCTTTTCTTTTTCTTCCTCCTCTTCCCCTCTTCCCTCTCCTTCCCTCCCCCCCTTTCCCTTCCTCTCCTCCTTCTTGGTGGTGCTGGGGCCTTGCCCTTGCCATGCAAAGCAGGTGCTGCACCCATGAGCTATGCTCTGAATCTCAGTGCTCTCCTAACAAAGACTGCAGCTCTGTGTACTGGGTAGCTTGCTCCCTGTTGCAGGGCTATGGATGCGCGTGTATTAACACTTCTTCCCTGGGGTGAGATTCACAAACTTCTCATCTGTGCCAAAGAGCTAATCTCTCTTGTTAACACAGAAGCGGATCCAACACTTCTTTTGGGGAGTTTCTGTCTATCCCAGGCTGACCTTTAACTCACTGTCCTGGTTTGGCCTTCTGAGTGCTTGGATTACAGGTGTGAGTCTGCACACCTGGGTTAATCCGTGTTAATCAAAGTTTGCTGGGGCCAGTGAGGCAGCTCAGTGGGGGTAAGGTGCTTATGGCATAAGCTTGGCAACCTGAGTTCGATCCCCAGAGCCCTCTTAACAAAAAAAGAGAGAGAGAGAAACAACTCCCCAAAGTTGTCCTCTGGCATCCACACACATGCTGTGGCTTGTGCGTCCCCCCCCCTCTCTCACACACACACACACACACGTGCATGTGAACACATATGTACAAACATACTAATAGTAATACTCGATAAATAAGATTTAAGAAGTTATTGTACTTATGGAGGGAGGGGGACATTTGTCTCTTACAGAGCAATGCCTGACTCTCATAGAGTGGGAGACAGTCTTCTGGGAGAAAAATAAGATGTCTACACAGTGGGCTGGCTGCTGTAAGAGAAGTAGGTGCCCTTCTCTGCGTGGCGGATGCAGCAGGAAGTGTTTCAGAGAAACTGATCTCTGGGATGTTTCTCAGCGAACACACATCTGTGTAGGGTGCTGATAGACAGTTAGGTGTTTACCGGGGGCCAAGGATGGATACCCCCAGCTTGGCAGAACATGCCGAGGCCAGATTGTGCGAAGCTAACCTCTTCCGGGCATCGGGAGTGCTTCTGAGTGTCTGGAACTATTTCTGTCAGCTAGGAGCTGGAAGGAGAAGATGTAGTGAAACGTAATTTCCTGCCAGCGGTTTGTAGAGCGCCTTTAAGACAGATTGTGGAGTTTGAGTTTTTTCTAAAGTGGCGTGGGGGGTTCCCAATTACACCCCTTATGTTTTATTTGTGGTTTAGCTTGACCAATGGCCTAGTAGGTCCCTCATGTAGTTGAAGGATCTCTTTCAAGGGCACTTCACTGGGACAGGACCCAGAATAGCCCTGCAGCGACTCCTCTCCTTCCCCATGAGATACGGATTGTCATAATGAACCCCATCTTCCCTCTGCAGTCTGACCAGGAATATTTTATCTCACTGACCAGAATTGCCATCTTCTGTTCCCTGCCTTGCTTGGGAGCCTCGGACCCGACACTGTGTGTCAGCAGCAGGCTTTCCCATCTCCTCAGCAACATGCATCATGGTCTAGGTCCTTGTCGGGCCTGCTGCGCAGCCTGTGTCCAAGAATGTGGGGAGGGTGTCAGGATTGATGACACAGAGACCAGTCGGTGGCTTCCAGAAGGCTCCTCAAGAAGGCTCTACTTTATTCCTACCCTGGCTGGTTATATATACCCTGACACCAGAGGCGGTGGTGGGTGGGTCAGGAAGAGGCAGTTAGTCTTTGGAAAAGGTCAAGATTAGGGTGTTTCAGTGGGTCAGCCCTTATCAGGAACTTATTGCTCCGGGCACTGTATTGTTTTTAGTAAACATTGTCTTACAGCTGCCTGTTCCCAGGCTGATGGGGAAGTGGGCCTCCAGCCAAGGTCTGTTGTTCCCACAGTTCCTGGATCACCATCTACTCTGGAATCTCCCCTCTAACCCTGGGTAGGTCAGTCCCTGCAAGCAGAACCTGTGGCATCCCTCTGTGTTTCTTGTCTTATATATGTGCCTCCATCGCGACTTTTAAACTCTGTTTTAAGTGTGTGTTATGCACGCATGTGAAGGCATGTTTCCATGTGGGGCACATGAGAGGGAGGCACCAGTCTCGGAGAGCTGTAAGGTAATCTATAGGTTAGTTCCTATAATAGGGGTCTCTAGAAGAACAGAGCAAACAGAAGCTTGTGTGTCATACATGTACGCTGTATATTTTCACATATGTGTTTTTAAAATGATTACAGAAACATTTATTAGATTGGCTTATATGATTGCAGACAATAGAATCCCTCAAGGACCATCTGCATGCTGACAGTCGGAGAACCCAGTAGCTGGAAGCCATAGTAACACACACTGTCTTCCTCAACCTGGCATCACCATCTTCCTCTAGGGTGGACCAATGATACAGCCCTAGTCTGAGGCTGAAGGCCTGGAGACTTCCTCTAGAGTGTCTGGGGTGCCATCAAAGACTGAAGTAGCTGGAGTCTGTTCTTCATGTCTGATGGCAGGTGAGGGTAGAACAGAGCTTACATGTCTTATTCTCCTGTTTTGTTTTGTTTTTGTTGTTGTTTGGTTTTTCAAGACAGGGTTTCTCTGTGTAGCTTTGTAGACCAGGCTGGCCCTCTATCTGCCTCTGCCTCCTGAGTGCTGGAATTAAAGGCATTCGACACCGTCACCCGACTCTTGTTTTGTTTTTCCTCCATCTGAATTCCCAGCCTATTGGACAGTGTGTCTAGCCTTCCTCTCATTAGCTCTCCCATGTGCCAATCATCTCTGGAAATGCCCTCTTGGACACCTCTAGAAGTATGCCCTACTAAGTTCCTAAGCATCTTTCAATCTGGCTAAATTGCCAATGGAGATGACCCAGCGTAGTTCTCATGAGT